AAGGAGTGGTGAGAAGATTAACAGTATACACTTTGTAAATAGTTGAACAGTGTTGAGGGAATTATTTGTTTAGCAGAATGATGGCTTTTGGGGGGAAAAACTGTTCTTGTGTCTAGTTGTTCTGGTGTGCAGTGCTCTATAGCGTTGTTTTGAGGGAAGGAGTTGAAAGATGAATAAAATGAATTATATTAAAAGTGTAAACTTCAATTCATCCGATTCTCTCCAAGTCGTAGGAAAACAACAGCATCCTTTGAGTTGCTACCAGACACAAATAATTCTGCAGCTAAGTAGTAACCTACTATGACTCATAGTGCCAACAATAGGTACTGTGCTGGGAAACGTCAGGTTTACACTTCTTTGTTCAAGACACTCAGTATACCAGAAACACCATCCTAGATATATCTGTACAAATGTTCAACCCAGCCCAGTTTAAAAGCAGCCCCAAACATTAGTCTTTTTATCTTAAAGCAGTTGCCAGTATAAGAAAGAGATTCTGCTTTCAACTGTTGATGGTGTAAACTCTTATTTAAACCAATTGATAGCCTCTATTTTCTCACCTTTGAACTCATAGAGTAGACGGGTAAGAGCAAGCACAGTGCAGCTGATCATAGTGACAGAGCCAGTTAAGCCAGCATAGATCAGGAGGAGATAACGCTGTATTCCCTCTGAAAGGAAACATGCAAGAATTTGTATTGTAATTACAGTATATATCAGGTACTCAAGAACACAACTTATAACAAGACTAATGGAAAGCCTCCCAAGACCAATAATTGAACAGAAATTTGTACAAGAAAAAAATAGCCTATGGAGATAATGTTAAAACCCAAGTCTCAAAGCAAGTTATCTTGGGAAATCAGCATTTACCCACCTCTAAATGATAATGGTCATAGCTCAATTGAACTTTGACATATTTCAAAAATACAAAATGAATCCCTGAGAAACCACTAAGGTGGATGGATCATGATCTAGCTTAATGAAAGAACAGCATTCTAAGATGAGAACAAAGGTATTAACAACAGGCAACAAGGGGAAAATGATGGGAAACAATGCGTATCAGAGGTTGAGAAGATAAGCACAGTTTTAATCATGGTTATCTAATCTCAGACACAGAATTTGACGCTTTTAAGGAAGTGAGGAAAATCTAGGAAATAAAGAGATAAGGCCAATGGAGACCAGTTGCCAAAAAGGGATGACACGCTGTATTTTTCGAACTACAGGATGCACTTTGCCCCCACCCCAAAAGAATAGAGCGAATGTGGGCCCGTTTTTGGCCTCCGCAGGTCCCATTTTTGCCCTCCCCAGCATCCAGAAGCACCGTGCATCCCGTTTTCAGCCTCTCCGATGCTGGGAAGGGCAAAAACAGGACACGCAGAAGACACTAAAATTAAAAGAAACCGTGCATTGTGGTTTGTTGAGGAATACATTATATGGGTAGTCCTTGACTTACGACCACAAATTGAGCCCAAAATTTCCGCTGTTAAGCAAGACAGTTACTCCATTTTATGAATTAACGACAGGCCACAGTTGTTAAGTGAATCACTGCAATTGTTAAACTAGAAATATGTTTGTTAAGTGAATCTGGCATCCCCACTGACTTGTCAGAAGGTCACAAAAGGTGATTGCATGATCCTGGGACACTGCAACCGTCATAAATGAGCTGCAGTACTGCAAGCTACTTAAGAGTGCAGTACTGCAAGCTACTTCTGCTGACTGCTGGCTGCAGTTTGGCAGTTCGAATCTCACCGGCTCAAGGTTGATTAAGCTTTCCATCCTTCCGAGGTGGGTAAAATGAGGGCCCAGATTAATGCTGACTTTGTAAATCGCTTAGAGAGGGCTGTAAAGCACTGTAAAGTGGTATATAAGTCTATTGCTATTGCTACAAATACATGCCAGCTGCCAAGCATCGAATTTTGATCATCTGACTGTGGGATGCTGCAACTGTCATAAGAGTGAAAAACAGTGATGTGTCATTTTTTTCAATGCTGTTGTAACTTTGAATGGTCACTAAACAAATGGTTGGAAGTGGAGAACTACCTGTACAGACTAGGATGAAGTTCAGTAGTAAACATGGAAAAAATGAAGTACTCAAGATGAAAAGGGATGCAATGTTGTATAAACAAGAAAGGAGACAGAGAAGAGCAAGCTTGGCAACAAAAGACAAAGAGAAACACCTTCTTTTCATGCAAAGCCCCACATAAGCAAACTGGGACTCACCATTTGGAGTGACCCCAAAGCGTATAAAGGTGTGACCAATTTCTACCAGCAGATTATAAGCATTTTTGCGGGCACCCACGGAAACTTCTTTGGTGCAGAGGATCACCTGGAGGGAACAAAGATATGGTCAACAGTCTGATCACTTACCTATTGCCTCCACCGTAATTTTAATATCTTCACGAGTTACCATTCGTTTAAAAAGAGGGGAGAAAAACTAAGAGGCTAGAATTCCAAACATTATTCTAAAGCTTACAATTACAGTAATAGTAACAAAACTAAGCTAATTTACAAATTTCCTACCACAGTTTTTCAAGAAAAACTCAACTAGATGACTAAAGTTTTCAGTACTGTAGGTGATTTCCTTAACTTTGAGGAATGTATAATTTCTTACTAATATCAACTAATTAATGAGAACATATTTTTAATTATTGCCAAAGTGTTATTTAAACTTAAACACAGGTCCATTAACTCCTCAGCAACATTTATTGCAAAATAAGCAGACTTAACACTGAAGGGAGTTACTCTTCCACCTGTAACGGAGAAAGTTGCTATCTTTAATTTGCATAACCCCTGCAAATGCTAGTAGTAACACATTCCAAGATACTCTGGTGCTAACTTCATTACAAAAGTGCTGAAGAGAAATATGACCCTGCTCAGAGAAAGACCTAAAGTTTGCAACAAAGAGAAAGCAATGTAGAAGCAAGGTGATCTGGTCTCTTTTCTCTCTTTTACAAGTTGGTAAGAGCCTTCATAGTCAACTGGATTCATCCAAGTTTATATTGCACCTTCTGATTTGTTACTGATGTTTTATGTCTTATGTCTAAGTATATTACTCCTGTTATATATCATCATCATCATCATCATCATCATCATCATCATCATCATCATCATCCTTTCCATCTTCTTTACTACCTCTTCTTACTGGTATCATTACGATGATTATTACACTGTTGCTTTACCTGTTGCTTTCGCACCGGAGACAAATTCCTTGTGTGTTTAATTATACTTGGCCAATAAAGTATTCTATTCTGCTCGGTTTAAATAGTTAACAATATTTAACAATATTTTCAGAGATCTTTTACTGTGAAATTGTTGCATTTCAAATCTGAGGTTGTTTTAAACTTATTTAAATGTCATGGCCAAAGATCAGGGATGGTTTTATAATGAAAAGCAGATTTGACATTTTATAAGTGAATAAAATGATGAATATTTTATTCCATGCACTTAATGTTTCACCATCTTCTGACAACATAATTCTACACTCAAATTTCCAGTTTCTTCAGGGCTGTGCTAAATCCTCTTTTACTGTGCTCTCTCACCTCTGGCACCAGGGCTGTGACAAAATCTTCATGTTCCACTGTCAGCTGTTTGATAACATGGAAGAGGCACTTCAGCCGGGGCTAAGAACAAAACAAAAAAAGCAATATGGAAATATACACAGTATTCTTTGATACCCATCGCAGTTTACATCTTATTTACTTTGGGTGGTAAAAAGTTTTCCTTACTCTCTTAGCAGGTGACGTTGCACAGGTTAGGGAGTCCAACAGAGCACTCTTCAGTTCCTCCAAATGACTTTGTACAAAATTACGACACGCAGGTTGGTCAGAGGCACACACTTCCTCTAGCACCCGATAAATCTTTTTCTGTATTCTATGATCTTTGTTCTAGGATAATCAGATCAAATAGATAATTCAAAATATACAGTATAATGTGCATATATAAAAAACACAAGGACTCAATTCTCATAACCTTGAAAGGGAAGACACCATATCCTGATGCCCCCCCCCCCCCCCCCGGTTTCATTTTGGGCACTACTTCTAAAGACCACTTGGAAAGTGCAGTTGATTCACAATCAGTGATCTGCTTATTGGCTGGTGCTTGTTACTTTGAGAATATTACACCTATTTTGTAAGGCTGCAGAGTAGCCACTAGGTTTCTGGGTGCTACTTTTGGCTTATAAAGGCCTACATGACTTAATGCTAAGACTCCACCCAGACTCAACTACCTAAGAAAAACTGCAAGTGGTGCCTCATTTTCATGAGGTAAGAGGGACTACGATCTGTGGTGGTATTCTACTGGTTTGGCCTGGTTCTGGCGTACCAGTAGCGCCGAAAATCAGCTGGCAGAGAACCGGTTTGCTCCGAGCCTCTCCAATGCTCTGCAGTTGGAGCCACCTGCCTGTCCCTGCTCCTAGGTCCTTTTTAACCTCTCAGCTGTTTGGCTTGGCAGAGCAGATTGCTGTGCTAAACAGCAGAGAGGCGCAGTAACTTAGTTTTTACTGTTTTAACACACACGCAAATTTGGCGCGCATGCACGCATGATCGCACAATCCTTCCCTTGCAGCCACACCCACCAAGCCATGCCCACAGAACCAGTGGTGGGAACTTTTAAATCCCACCACTGGCTAAGCCCCCAAAATGTAACTCTTCAATTATCTTACCTCTACCCTCCTTGTAGAAAGGACAGTGGCCTCTGGCAAAGGCCTTCTGAAAAGTGGTCTGTCTGTTTTCATGTCAGAAGCACTTATAGAGTTAATTATAGGGAGCTTCTAGGTTGAAAGGATTTGCTGGTTTTAACACTATTGCCCAGGGGATGCCCAATTGCCAAAAATAATGCAATATTTATTTTGGTGGGCCTCTGAATTTGGGGCATTTTAATGCTTTTAGTTTATTTAGCTTGTATTTTACTGTTTGGGGTGAGTGAGGTGTCAGTGCATATTATCTATTCTTATAAGGTCTCTGGAGTCTTGAAGGATTTAGCAGCACATAAAACAAATAACTTCAAGAAATAGCTACAATCCAACAATCAAATAAATGGCCATTGCTACGCTGTCTTGGCCTGGTCTAAGCCTTGTGGAAAAAGCTTATAAATGAGCAATTTCAAGCGGCTGAGAGGATGTTTAAATAAAAATCTAAACACATTATATGGATCTTTCCCACAAAATCAACAGAATTCAAATAATTTCTATCAGTACAAAAAATTAAAAATAAATGTCTCCCTCAGTTAATAAAACATTTTTTCACCAGCCCCATGAAATAAGGATTACATATAGTTATGCCCCTTAGTTTTTTAACTGAAAAGGACAGCAGTGGATCTTATTTAAGTATTATTTCATTAGATCAACAAAACTCTAGATAATAGGATTGTGACAACTAACGTGGGTAAATTCACACCACTATTTTGTACTCGCCAAACAAAGTTTATTTGCAAGCTTCTGCTTCTTCTTCAAAAAAAGAAATGTGTTACCTAGATCTCTTCCTTCAATTTGATAGCCTCACTGACCAAAAACAACAGGGTTGCAATGTGAAGTGTCATAACATAGAACCCAACAGCTGAACAGTAACTCACTTGCAGGGAAGAGTGGATGCTGCCATACAGAGCATGCAGAGATGATTCATCAGCATAGGGAGCCATCGCCACCACTAAATCCAAAATGGAAAGCCTGCAGCAAGGAGGACACAGTTAAAAGAACACAATCCTAATAATCTTTATGAATTTGAACTCTTTCTGAATAGAAGACAACTAATTCTTCTTCTTATAATGGCATAAAGCTACCAGATCTAGTCTAGAATTAGCAACGGAAAGACTACGTAGTTCACCCTGAAATTTATTTCATCCCGCATTTCCTTCTCACCTTATCTAATGAATGGGACAAAAATCCCCCAAATTTTTACAGAAGATAACAGGATCAAAAATAAAAGATGTTTGGAAATGTTTCACAGATCGATATAGATAACTCTGATTTATGTCCTATCTTCTGGAGCAAATATAAGGTAGATGCTGAGCATATCCACTTGAAGCATAGAAGAAAACACCACAAGATAAAGCCTCTCTCTGGTAACTTTACACCTGGACAGGATGGGTGACACACAAACCTAATAAATAAATAAACTTTACCTAGTGAATTCTGAACTATCAGAACTGGTCAATTTCTCACAAGCTTTCTCCAGGAAGGAATTTACCATCTGCAGTGAAAGATAAAATAAAAAATTCCATATAGAGATGTTTTTCCAGTACCAGCAGCACACCATCATAAATTCCAAAATCACTTTAGCTTCAGGCATCTTCCTGTTTTAGTATTCTAGCAAATGGTGAATTCTGAGACCCATATTTTTTTTTCAAAGATTGCTACTCACCCCTGCTTCAGTAACTGTCAAGTAAGCCCGGATGGTGTCCAACAAAGAGCGCCGGTGCACTAAGCTCTCACTATCATCACCCTCTTGGCTGTATACATTGAACATGATGGGCAGAAAGTTCTTTGCAAAGCGTCCAACCTCAGCACGCTCAGCCTCTGCAAATGGAAGCAGAGAAATGGAATGAAGAAAGTGTTATTCTGAGATCAAAGGATTTTCAGGCAGTTTAACAAGGACTCTTGTCAGGCCTTTCCACCACAGAAGCTTCAATCCCAGACAAACCTTCTGAAGATTACATCATAATCTTTTATTGTCTGAGTCTAGGAATAAACAGAAATGAGGTGAAGATGTTGCCAATATGGCAATTAACAAGTCACGTTTACCTGTTTGGCAGCCCTTATTAATTAGCCTGCGCAAAGCTTGGCACACTATCTGCCGCAGTTCAGAACAGTCATTAATGGCCGTGCCTAGAGTGCGTGCCAGTCCTTTGAATGAGAGAACCACATCTGTAGCATGGTTACAGAAACTTGGCAGCAAGGTCCAGATCTGAAAGACAAAAAAGGCAAGGTCAACATGTTTTACCTTCACTGATATTTCCTATGTCAAAATCATAATATGCTTTATACCAGCTATCAAAAAAAAAGAAAGAAACCAACCAACCAACCAACCCAAAAACAAAATTCCTCACTTGCCACTGGAGTGTATTGTAGATCTTAGCTTCTAGGTCCTGACCTGCCTGGGCAAGCTCGGTGGCTGCAAAAAGAGAGAGATCTATTTGTAATTGCGTTTTAATAGGCACAGGGATAGGAATGAGGAACAGATGACTCTCCAGATGCTACTGAACTGTTTCTCCCAGTTTCTTCATTGTTCATGACCATAATAGCTGCATTGCTGGAAGCTAATTCTACAACACACCTCCCTCCTTGCATGACAGTTAATCTGGAAAAATAACTGACACCGTTGGGTCTGCAAAGTATCAGAAATATACATACTAATGCAATATCATGAGATATTTGACACATATTTGTCTACATTTGATCAATAATCAATAATTTGCTTATTGACTACCTTCCAAAACTTTTCACAATGTAGAGGTAAAGACAAAAATGCAATTAACCTATAATTTTAAATCTTGATTTTTATAAAATTATATATACCAAGTAGTCCAAATTGTAAACTCCTAGAAAAAAAATCACCTTAAGAAGCTAAGTTTTGTTTTTGGAAACCTCCAACTTAAAGGTGATCAATTCTCCAGGTTTATTTTGTCACATGGTTTTTGATGTCCAAAACTTAGGTCTACTTGCAAGTAATATGGCTTGTCCTACTTGGATGTCTAATTACCTCTGTTTTTTAAAGAAGTGGCAAGTGGCAGGAAATGACTGGAGAAAAAGGCAAGTGGTGCACTTTGGATGTGGTCTCGGAGCACAGGAAGGAGCCAACTGTGAGGAAAGTCCAATGTCTCCCTGTAGATAATATAATGGTACGCAATTAAGAGGAGATGGGAAATGCCAGCAGTGAGTATGTTTGATTTGGGTGATTATATGCGTTTCTCAATGCTTTCTGTTTCTAGCCACAAAAATGTCACAGAACCATAGAATTCAAACACTCTGGTCAGATGGCTTCCTAATTTCTCTTGAACATACAGGTAGTCCTCAATCTATGCATTAACTGTTAAGATCCAAACAGACATGGGTCAGCAGGGAACTCAAATTCACAGTCATATACTCAAACCACAAGAAGACTCCTTCTCAATCCAATGACCCCTCAAATACCTCTAGTGATTGGCACCCTCTTCTATTAAGCTTAAATTAATAATACAAAAATTAAGTTGTGGAGCATGAAACATGGTAAGTGTCAGGGTTGCATGCCTAACAGATCCATTCCGCCTATCTTTGCTTTATTTGATGTAAGGTTTCAAAAATTCCACATAAAGCATAACAGATGCTTATTCTGAAAGTCACATTTTTTGTCCCAGTTAGATGCCCAGTAATACCAAGGCAATTGTATAAAAATCAACTGACCAAGGAATAAGCTAGTTTATAGTCACAGCTCAGTGTGAAAGACATGTTTAGCATGTAAAAGCTCTATCATGTGGGTCTGAAAAAACTCCTCCCTGAAATTCTTGAAAATTGCTGCCAGTCCATGCCAGAAGATGGTTCAGAAATCTGAGTCTGGAAAGGGTAACTTCTGATATTCCTTATAAAAATTAGTAATCCCAGAATATACAGACAAAAGCAAAGCTCAGTTGTTAAGAAAACCAAAACAACCATACAAAATAAAACTAAAAAATATTTACAAATATATTTGTTATTAAAAAATTCAATAATTTATAAATACACTTATTTGTCTTTATTTGTCCCTTCAACCTATGAACTTATTTCAATACATATTTCTCTTTTTCACTGCTAAAGTCCTTAAAAACAACTAAAAGCACAACAAAAGCTTACAAACCAGATAAGAATGGCAACTAAAATGAGATTTTTGTTTGCTTTGCTGAATTCATTAATTTTGATTTTTGATGAAATAATGGGCAGGCTCTGGTGTATGCCTAAACTAATCAGCAGGTTGTCTCTTAATGCCTTGTGCAACTGCAAAGAGAACCTGTGAATAATAGTAAACGAATAAGGGTAAATGGGGGCATTGCTTTGAAGAACCAAGTGGCTTTCAGTATCTTTGCAAAATCAATGAAATTACAAGTCATATTGCTCCTTCCTCTATAATTTAAAAGCTTGATGCATGCTGGATTAAAACATGTTCCCTACCTCAAACACATTTTTGGACTCTGCTTCATATGTCTATTGAAATTAGTTCAGAAGACAGAATGATAACAATGCAGAAACATCACATGCAATGGCTTTACAAATATGAAGAAGGAAACTCTACTTACTCTGTGCCATCAATATCTAGGGGAACAGCCTCCAGCACTACCTCAGGGCCCATAGTGGCCACTGCGGCTCCCAGAGTCTGATCAAGCAACACAGAGTGGGGAAAGTGCGAGGAACTGCGCAGATCAGCTAGGGACTGCAGACACTGCAGCAAAAGGGAAATTAGAAAGGATCACATAGGAAAGAGCATCACAATTTTTCATATCCTCTAAGCATAGCTGGCAACCAATGGGTTTTGGAGTCTCTTAGCTGAATTTCAGCAGTACAACTCCCAAAGATAAATCTTTTTTTCTTTCTTTTGAAAAAAGAAGCAGAATAAAATAATGTAAATTTGGAACATGTTTAACAAAATTAAGAACAAAAGATTAACAAGAGAAGTCCAAAGCCTGTTTATTCATGCATTGTCTCCTTTATTGGAGTCTTCTCCCCTTGAAAACATGAATTGTGCCTGGTTCTGGAGGGCACTTAATTCTTTTAACTGGGTGCCTACAAAAATTCCAACTGCAGTGCCTTCATATCCAGTGGGGGAAATTATTCTAAAAAAAACCTCTCCCTGTATTGGTTCAAATCACTAGCCTTCCAATACTAATTGTATAAACTCACATTTTGTCTCCTTATCTAGGTTCTTAAATCCAGGTAACAGCAATCAATAATCCAAAGGCTTTACTTTCTACAGATGTTTTTATTCTTAATCTGGATACTTGGGAATTCCCTGCTTGTTTCATGTGCCATTAATGTTAATGACCTACAGCATTCCTTTACCTTTTGCATTATAGGATGACACTGCTGCCCACATGCCTTAAAGAAAACCCTCAACACTTGCAACACCGAGGCCCAAGCTGCGTGGTACTGGTATGTCAGACCTTCTTCCACCGCTCTGCAAAGAACAACCATTGGCAAATCAAAAAAGAATCTCAACATTCTATATTTGTAATAAACCATGAATAGGAGGTTGTAAAACTGCTGCAACCAACCAAGCTATTTCATGTACCTGAACATCTTGCAAATGTGAACAGCGGATCCAGAGGGAGTTGCAGATGAAACAAGTCCTAGTTCTGTCACAAGAGGGGCCACACATTCATTGAGCAAAACCTGAATCACACAAATTCACATTTGCATCAGCCCACGTTCTCTGTACAGATCAAGAGCACATCAGCCAACAATGACAATGCAGGAAGTGCTTCATCACAAAACTGCACATGGAAATGCCCCACAGTTCTTACATTAAATGAAATAAAGTCCCTGAAATATAGTTCTTGCCAGCTTTGCACTCTACATCTAGAAGTAAGGGCAATGTAATACCATTAGGGTCTGGGCGGCAGCATCCACCACCTGGCTGTGAGGAGACAGGAAACAGTTCATAGCTACGCTGAAGAGACGGGGAAGATGAGCTAAGCACAGATCCCACTGCAGCCTAAAATCAAAAGAAAAGTTATTTCTGACTATCTGAACAGCATTTTCCAATCCCCACATAAATCTGCCCCATTATTATCTCACCCTTACTTTGCAAGGTTAACATGTGCACGTTCCATGACAGCCAGCCAGGCCAACAGAGGCTGCAAGTCATTCTCATTGGGTACATAGTCATAAAGAGCCTGGCGGTGCAGAACAACAGAAAGGGTTACTTGAACATCCAAGGCTGGCTGTGCACCTTTCACCCAATCATTGCATTACTTACCATGATAATCTGGGCATTAAGTTCAGCTGGCAAACACATTGGAGATGACTGGGCAGCGAAGAGGCTATGAAAAGCTTTCATAGCACATGCTGTCACTAGCTGGGCAGTGACGGGGAGAAGAAAAATGAAGAACAATTAATCACTGCTCTTGCTTTTCCTCTCCATTTCTGTCAAAAGAGGCATTTGGGTTTGCAACTAGGCTAAGACAAGGGGAGTAGATAGAGGTAATCCATCTTTGTTGTTCACTCCCACTGAAGCTCTCTGGTCTTCCAAGTGGCTTACACAGTTGTGACTATACTGCATTCAAAAGACAAGGCAGCACAAAGTCAACCTAAAAAGAGGAGGAACACTTACTACATGGCTGAGGGTCATAACTCGAAGCAAGGTTTCACAGCAAGATTTGACAGCTGGAGCAGGAAAATAGGGCAATAAATCACGCAGCAGAGTCAGCATGTGCAAAGTTGTTGTGGCCTCCTTAGCACCTGAGGAGCCAAACAAATATTAGTTCTACTATTCTCTCAACACACAACACAGTTACTATTGCTCCTTGCAAAGTTTGCATTCCATTCTTCAAGCTGATTTTACAAACATCCTGGTATTGTGCAAAGTTGTGGAATAAAAATATATAATATTAAAATCCTTTAATAAACAAAATCAACGTAAGAGGTTTTTTTTTTCCGGAAAAAGTATTATATTTACTTGCAAAGTTGAAATTAAAATGATCCTTCCTCGGAAAAGGATGATTAGACATAAATTAAAATGGGAAAATATTTCTAGGAAAAACAAGTTGGCCTTTCAGCAAATTTGCTTTAGAAGATCAAAAAAGGAGTTGACTAGTTTCAAATCATTTATCCAGGAGTTCTGCATGGTTTGCAGAGTTGTGCTACTGCAGAATACCTGCAATTCTCCTGCCTCTTGCCCTTTCAACCAGTTTTTGAATCATATCCACAGCTCTTCTGCTAAAATGTTGCTGGTTTTTTTTTTTTTTTTTTTTGAAACCAGAATACATAGAATTCAGGGGAACAATGTAGGGATCACAATTAGAGCCAAAGAAAGATAAATGGAACAGCTTCTTATCACATGAATTAGATACCTCCAGATTTCTCAATTTCTTGAATGCAGAACTTAGCAGTAGAAATTGCAGCTGGGTGATGTGGAGGAGCTCCGTCTCCAAATAGGAACTCACTACCCCTGAGGATAGAGCAGACACCATGCTGAGCAGCCTTGCGGACCTGAAGGAGACAAGAACGATGGGAGAGGCTGCAGGCTGAGCTAGAATATTTGCCCAACTTCAAGCCATATTATACCGGACATTTAACAATCAGATTTAAACAACTGTGAACCATGAACCATATAAAAGATACAAACTCACCTTGGGCTTGACATGGACAGTGAAGCTGAGAATACCATGGAAAACTTGCATTGTCACAGGGTAATTCCATGTTAACAGATTTTGTCTTCGTAGCAATGTAGCAAGGCAGGAGAGGACCTAATAAAGAGATAAAGGATAGCAATGAGGCATTGTCCTATGAACACTAGATACCCAGAAGCATCTGTCTGTAAAACAGTTCAGTTTTAAATACCTGAAACAGGTATCAAGCAAAATCATGTGCAGTCTAATAGTAGGCTTAATTCAATCCAGCATTTCTTCACTTGTTACAGTACAGTTCAAAATGCTGAGCAAAGGGGCTTTTAACAGATTTGTTCTCTCTTAAAATATATAGAGCATTGCAGGAAACATTCTATTATTAACAAGAGCATCCCATATGTAATATTTAGATAATACATAGATGACCTCTTTGATGCACTTACCCATCGTAGAGCCAAAGTAGAGTCTCCACAAGCTTGTGAGCCTAGAATTTCCATAAAAGCCTTGGAAACATCGGAGAACTTTTTGATCAGCACAGGGCTGGGTACCCTGGGGAAGATTCAGAATATGACAGGCATCAAATAAGAGGAATTAGTAACAAGCATTCCACTGCCTTTTGCATTCAGTGATTCCATTCTTGTGCAACTAAACTCACTTGTGGCACTTCACATTGCTATCCCTGCCATCCCACTTATAAGATGCACAGGCTCTGATGACACAGACTACCTTTTTGTAAGGCATCATTAATATGCCCGTTAAGTATAAAATAAGGACACAAAGAGACAGCAAACTGTGAAGTTTTAATCATCCCTCATCCACCTACTGCAGTAACAAATTCAAGGAGGAAGCAAATTGGACACAGTTACAGTGACAAGGGACCATAATAGAAGAAATGACTAATGGTTTCAAAATGTTTTACATAAAAAGAATATATAAGAAACTTATATAAGAATATATAATCCTAAGAATATTTCCTTTAAATAAGTTTATAAAAGGATATCACTGACTTTGCAAGATCGAGTCTAATTTGTAGTAGAATCTTTGTCCAAGACACCAACTGTTGCACAAAATTTTATAGTGTCCTTCTTGATCCCTTTTTCTCTGAATTATCCTAAAGTGCACCCCCAAACTCATAAAAATGCTTGTCGTGTTCCTAGAACTCACCGCTTCAGCACTAAACTTAACAGATATGCAACAGCAGCCAAGGATTCGGGAGACTCCACAGCTTCCAGAGTAGTCATCTAAGGAGACATAACACAGCTCAGAAACGCGGAGAAAAGGTGGATCCGTGGGACTTTATCCTGAAAGAAACTGATCTCTACATTAGCCTATCTATACACTGTTTTTTGATACTTGTTGGTTCTCCATGCCTTACACCTTGCCCCATCCAGCAGTCAAAAGCATGGAGATGTTTGCTCTCCAGCTTCAGATTGGTGATCAGATCACTGACATTTATAGTGCTCAATGAAAATCTCTGAGGTAAAAAGGTGAAGGGTACTTTTTAAAAAATAAGCTGACTACAGAATGCACAAGGGAGCAAAATGAAAACCTGTAGCATAAAGAGGGAATCTGTGGCTTTTCAGATATTTTTAGAGTCTCATCATTCTGTTTTTAGTAAACATATTGCTTTTTACATTTCAATGTTCTGGAATTGCCAGGCTATCATTTGGATATATTTCTTTTGATACTTACCAACACACCAAAATATTCTGTCTCACTTTCTGTACCACCCTGTGTTCGGATTACCTCTGTGGCTGCAGCCAATACTGCACATATCTATAAGAAATCCAAATTAAAGAGTCAAAAACTCTTATTCACCCAATTAAAATTCCTTGTATAATACTTCTCAATTTATACACAAATCTTGCTGATCCTTTCATCAAGCTCTTACAACTGCTGTGAATAAAGCAGCATTTATTACCCACCCAGACAGTGTACCAAATATGAGACACCAAAGAAAATTCCAGCCTTGGGTATCTTCTGTCCTATTCCTTTCTTCCATGGTAATAGAAGAATAGTAGAAAATGTCCAGCTATTACTTAATGAATCTTTATTTCTGTAATTTGTATTCCACCCATATTAATATTGACTCTGGGTAGCTCACATTAAAATATACCTAAAAACATTAGGTTCAAAAATAAATTAACCCAGCCTATGAAATTTTGTTCAAACATGGTTAAAAGTCACAGAAAACTGAAACCCCAAATGGTTGATGGTAAAGCAGGTTTTTCACCATTTCCAAAATAATAGAATTATTAGGGCTCTGGGGATAAACTGTTCCAAAGAAGGAAAGATGCTACCAACAATACCGGTTTCCTCCCCTTGCATTCCTTATCAGGCTTGACTGAATTGAAGTGGCAGAGTTATTACTATAACCTATTTCCTTAATGAATGGTAGATACTATCTCTGGAAAGAAATATTAACCATATACAGTACTTTTAGCAGTTATTAAAACCAATGAACAGCAAAAAAACAAAAACAAATGATCCAATCCATTAGAAAACAACTTTATCAACTAAGTCTTGCTGGTTCAACAGCTCCAGTCTATTTGGGTGGTATTATTGCACTTCACTATCCCTATAGTCTATTCTCTTAAAGTAATAATGAAAATCTTGTTAATCACATTTGTTGGTTTTCATAAAAATTGGCAGCTGCATACCTCCTTATGAGCAGCAGAATTGGATTCCCAAAGACGCTGCACTCTGCTGAAGGTGAGATTAGTACAGTCAGTCAAGCCACTCAGGAAAGTTGCAGATGATTTGTGAGTCTTAGCAGATTCACTGTTATCTTCCACCACAAAAGACTTTGTATTCTCTCTAGGCAGAGGTCCTGATGACTGCAGTTCATTATGTAATTTCAGGGCATCTACAGTCAGGTTACTGTTTTCTGTGAGAAAGGCAAACATTGAGTTAATTCTTGAAGCATCACTATCAGATAATCTACACAAAGAAATTCATAAATAATAAGCCAAGCTGCCTAAAGGGATCCAAAATAGAAATTTACACAAAATCATGCCCTAATATAAGATTAAATAGCATATTCGTAAGCATTTGAATAGGAATGCAGCAATTAACAAGAAACAGCGCTTTGGGCCAGTCATTTCCTCAGCCCAACTCACCTCACAGAGTTGTTGTGGGGAAATATCAGGAGGATGGGGTACTGGGATGTATAGTGCCTTGTTTATAAAAATAATAAAGGCAAAATAAAATAAATATCACAAAATGATATTCCACTTTTATTAACAAAGCTGAAGAGATTGGGGAAATGACATTGAGGAGGATGTGATCTATTGAAGATTTTGATATAGGTTTTATCAACTGCTGAGATCAAGAGTGTGGTCTTTTATGATACTCTGATTAAGAAAATGTTAAAATATAAGATAGATGAAAAAACTATTAAATGGATTCCTAACTGGCTAAATGGCCACATAATTTTATTAACTACATGGATGAATGGTTTGACGATACATTTTTATCACATTTGTACATAAAGACAAGATTCAAAAAGATCTAGCTTGGACAGTGGACTAAAACAGGACAAACTTTTACAGGGAGAAATGTAAAGTCACACTTATGAGGAAAAAATAAAAGGCAAAAGTATAGGATGAGGGCTTAAGTATCTATGATAGAATTTGGGTATTCACAAGCCCAAGCAGATCCAAGCTGGACATGGCTTGTTATGGCAGTATAACTGCTAAACAGACATGCACTTTTGGGGGACCTATTTGTAACCATCCCATCTATTTTGCCTTGGTTCGGCCCAACTTGGAAGACTGGGTCCAGTTCTGAGCCCTGCAGTCTAAAAAGGACATTGATACACTGAAAAAAAAGAGTCAGGGTAGATCTTAAGAAAAAAAAAATTAAATATCAATAGTTCTTAACTATAGTGAGACAGATTTCCCCTTCATGGGAGATCTTCAGATGAGACAGCCATTTGTCCAAAACAAGATCCTTGAGTCAACAGGCCACTGGTGTACATGATCTCTATGATGAAGTTATTATAGCTTCAAGATGTAGATATTTCATCCGCAAACAGACATGGCTGATCTATTTTTACTCAAATTTCATAGAACATTTGTAAGTGGAATAGTTATTTCTCATTAACGCTCAAAGAGCTGCAGCTGCCGCTGATCGGCATTTAAACTGAAAAGAATAGGATACCGCAACGGAATTAAAGCCATGATCGTCTCTGTGGCTCTTGCGGCTACTGCTCTTACCTGACCGGGGGGCGAGGAGACGACCACGGGCGGCCAGGCGGTAACGTCGTCCCTCCGGATTGCTATCGCTGCTGTGCCCTTTGCGCCAACGCTTAAGTTTACCGGCTGTACCGGAGCGCAACTTGCCCGAACGACCCATATCGCTCGGTTCTCGCCACGGCTCGCCAAAGAAAAAGACCCAAACCACGTGCCGGGTCTACTTTATTTTAAGTAATTCCGGTTATCTCCTTCCGTGTTGAGCACCAACTTCCGACTCTTCCATTTTGCCAGCTAGTTAAAAAAAAGCCGAAGGTGGGCTTCGACCTCCTTATTCTTTTCCGACTTGGATTACAATTCCTTCTGGCCCTGCACACCTTTCTAACTGTGGCCTGTCCCTTCGTGTAAATCAATGTTTTTCAAAGTTAGCAATTTTAAGATTGTGGACTTCAACTCCCAGAATGCTCTAGCAAGCACTGTTGCTGAGGAATTCTGGGAGATGAAGTCCACACTGATGTAAATAAAAGAGGCAAGGAAAGCAGTTTATTTTGTCTCAATTTTTAAAAATCTTAACACAGCAGAACTTTGAAGTTTTCTGATTGATTCTATATTTACATTGGCTGTTCCGAATAGAATTTGTCTGAAGAGCACAACCAAGGCAGCATTGGTATTATGCAGATATGAAGTTGAGGGAGATGCAAGCTTGTAATAATTGTCTGGAAAGGTGGTTGAGGTCAATGACTCTGGGCTGCTTATAATTAAAATGTTACACAACATTTTAAACAATAAAAGCAGTATAACCAGCAAAAAGAAACATTAAAAGCATCCAATTCAGCATACACAAGATCAAGATATTTGGCCAGTTAGCAATTTAGCCAAGATATCGGGCCCTCGGCCTTGGGACAATAGCCAGGGTTTACAACCTTATGAAAGGTTAGCAGGGTTGGGCCCATTCTGATCTCCTAAGAATGTTCCATAGAGCAGGGGCCACTGCAGGAAAAGCTCACCTAAGCCCCCCAGTAGACATTCTTTGGCTGACAAGATCTGCAGCATGCCATTCTGCTTGACCTGGTTGGACAGGTAGAGACTCTTGAAAAAAGGCAACCCTCAGGTACCCCAGTTCCAAGCCATGTAGAAATTTATAGGTAACTACCAGCACCTTGAATTGCACCTAGGAACACAGTGCTAACTTGTGCAGCTCATGCAGGAGTGGTGTTATGTGTGCTATATGTCTGGCACTGTTTATAGATAGTCCTCAATTTACAACCACAATTGGGCTCAAAATATGTGTCTAAGACACGGTTGTTAAGTGAGTTCTACTTGGCACAATTAGTAAGTGAATTACTGCAGTTAAGTTAATAATGTGATAATAAAGTGAATCCGGCTTCTCCATTGACTTTGCTGGTCAGAAGGTCACAAAAAGGGATTATGACCCTGAACAATACAAAGGTCATAAATATGAGCCGGTTGACAAGTGTCTGAGTTTTAATCACATGACCATGAGTATGCTGCAACAGATGAAAGTGTGAAAAATGGTCATAAGTCACATTTTCAATGCCATTGTAACTTTAAACGGTCATTAAACAAATTTAAGTCAAGGGTATCTATACTACTTGCCAACTACATTCTGCACCAATTGGAGCCTCAGAATGGTCTTCAGGGCATCCCCATGTAGAGGGTGCTACAGTAGTCCAATCACTGAATATATCTGATTATCCAGAATGTGATTTGAATAATTTTCCTATTTGAATTTGCAAAAGAGGCTTCTTGATAAGGCTTTAAAGAATCATGCAAGGAGGGACAGATTAAAAAGTAAAAGAAATCCAGTTCCAGCATATTATTTGAAGATACTACATATCAAAATTATTAGACATAAAAGGAAGGAATATAAACTTGGTTTATTTGATCAAAGTTAAAATAGATCTGTTGTCTCCGATAACCTTTAATGGCTAGTGGCTTCTTTTTTTTTTGCAACATGGATTTTATGTAGCTGACATTCACCACACTAGAGGATGCTCTGTTGCTCTGATCTTGTATTATTTCTGCCTGTGTGGTACATTCCGACCCTGTTTAGGAAGTTTTCAGAGCAAAATGAGACAATCACGGCTTGCCAGCTGACGCCACGCCATTTTTTACATGCGCTTCAGGAGTCTGAGGGACGGATGATATGCTCTTACTTCCTAAACGCATTTTATAGTCTTAACGACAATAATGCAAATAGCTCTTTCTGTGCATGAGCCACACGCATTGCATCGAGAGTAAATTTAACCAAATAACTTCTTCCCCTCCCTTATAAAGTGGGAGTCCCCCAAATGAACCCGCAATCTGGGTAGCTGCTGAGAGTCTACCCAGATTGGAAGATTACGGGAACGCCTGCGTCATAGCAGTCTCCTTTCGGCACATGCGCACTAGCCGGTAAAGAGTCTCCTTGGTTGGGGGAGGGAGAGGAACCTCGATTCGCTTGCGTCGCGCTCCGGTTCAGTCTCTCCGATTCAGAGCATGGCGGCTGCGTACAGGCTCGTCTTGGTCCGGCACGGGGAGAGCGCCTGGAACCTGGAGAATCGGTTCAGCGGCTGGTACGATGCGGATTTGAGCCCAGCCGGGCAGGAAGAAGCGCGGCGCGGCGGCGAAGCGCTGAGAGGTGAAGAGGCGGGAGGAAGCGGGGCAGGATGGAGGGAGCGACGGGGGACATTGATGCTCGGCAGCCGGGGGCGCCTCTGCTCCTGTTTCGCTCCGGGGAAATTGGGACGGGGAGGGGGGTGGGGGTGGGGACTGATTATTCTGAAATGTGTGGGGTGGTTGGTGTAGGTGGATAATTTTGGACTGTTTATATAAAGGTCATCAATGCAGCCTGTACTAACGGGGGATGGAGAATATTTTTCACTTCAACCCCCTGATGTGGATTTTAAAAAAATCAAATCAAATCCCTCTCCCC